TAGTTTTTTACTCCTCTACACGCTCCCGAAGTTTTGCCATTTAATTTGGAAACACCCTGTATAATTATGCAACTTCGATTACAATATCATCATATACATATATGGATAGAAATATTTCTATTATATTAAATATCAACTCCGATTTTGTGACCGAAACTCTCTAATGTTTTTAATATGCATGTTAGAACTTTGCATTGCAAAGAATACCCAGTCTTTTGCAACGGACAAATCAATGAAATTGCTAGACAAGTATCCGGTATCAACATATTCCCTGATATCAAATTGAAGCATTGAGAATGATAAACTTAAATAGCTTTCTATTTTTACTTTATGACTTTAAGTAATAATTTTTAAATTTTTAAATGGGAAATTTCAAACAGTAACCTTTTTTTTTAAAGAATTTCCTCTAGATCATCTTTCTCCGTTCATTGCCTACATTCAAATAAAATAAATCATAATTCACAATCAGACGTGAAAAAAGAAACATAATGAGAAACGATAGAATAAATCAACTACATTAAAAAAATTAATTACATCGTCATTTAAATGTCCCAATTCAACTTCCTTTCTTTACATCGTAGATAAAAGAATTACATCAAATCAAACTGGTTCAAATTTCAAATCACACTGTTGACGCTAGTTTTTTTCAGTCTACCGGATCCACATCGCTGTCAGTGGTATCAGTCAACAAAACGTTCATCAATCTTACCTGTTTGCCGGCGCGTGGCAGCGTCTCCACGTTGGTACCGCCGACTACGGGAGCCTTTTCCGGTCCGCCGTTCTGCTGGCTGACGTTTATGTTGGCGTTAACATTGGCGTTAACATTATTGACGTTATCGGTGACGTTCGTGTTCATATTTGCTCCTGTGGTAACGTCGCCGGTGCCGCCACCGCGCTTTCCGTCCTCGCCCGTCATTCTTCGGCCGTACTGTGAACCGTCGATTCACCCTCTAGTTGTCTCACACCCTCGTCACCCTCGCCACCTCCGCCGCCGCCACCGCCCCCGCAGTCGTCGTCCTCGCCGCCCTCGTTCCGCTTATACTTCCGCTCGTTAATTCTCAACTTCGGTCCACGGCTGGAAATCCCGATATCTGTGCGGCCGATCGAGAATCGATCAGAAAAGTATGTTTCAAAGCGCGACCGCGCGTGAAGGTGAATGAATGACGCTTAATCGATAACGTGTAATTAATTTTAGCCTCTTAACGCGGAGTTTTTGTTTCCCGCCGAGACACGGAATCTAGATTATTAATAGACGAAACTTGGCTTTTATTAGCGTGGTATACACGGGAAGCTCGAATTGGCGACGTTTAAGATGAATCGCGCTGTAGCTTCAAGGGCTCACTTAAACACGATCTCATGTTTAAAGTAGACTTGAAATTATGAACTCGATCCATCGCGTTTCGAATGCATCTCACTGGTAAAAATTAATTCCCACGAGCGATAAAATAAAATATCGAGCACGCGGTGTGTTATATAGTTCCATCGGGCCGAAATTACTTTGGTTGTTCTTCGAGGAACGCTATTTTTAGTCTCCACGAAGCGATACGGGTGGTATAACCGTACATGACGAAACGGTTCACAGGCACATTGTGAGCACCATCCTCCCGTTAGCTATTCGCCAAGGAGGAGGAAGCGAGCGAGCCTCGCCCGAAGTGCAATCTTACCGCTAACATCACCAAACAATCATAAAGAGTTACATCTCAAAGATATAAAGCGTCTTTCAGACGTCGCGATCACATTCGTGTTGTTTGGGATGCTCCTTCATTCAGAAATACACTGTACGTCACGATTCTACTTTTCTCGCAAATAAATCGCGTTCGAACCATCTAACGTAACAATCGTAAAAGCAGAGACCAGATTTTCTCCGAGCTTTTGGGTGGGAACGCAAGCTCTCTGCTTAGGGTCAAAGAACGAACGAGGCCCAAACGTCATACCGACGCGAAACCCGGTTCCGCGCGTCATCGCGTAATCGCGACGATATCTACCGGGGCGAAATAACGGTAAACGGGACAATGTAATTGACGAGGAGTCGCGGAAAGTCGGGAACCCTCGCGAGGAAACGCGACGCGAGCGGTAAGCCCGCACGGTCGACGGTAGTATCACCGGGAAAATCGATTCGAGCGTGTCCGTTCGAGCACTGCGCGCTTCTCCGAGCCGTGGCGATAAAAGCGGCCGTCGTTTCGCCGCTCCCGACGTTTACGGCTTCGACATTCGAGGACGAGTCTCGAGACGTAGATTTTCCGAAATTCAAAATAGCGCACGTTTTTTTCTATTCTTTTTTCTCGCCTGGGCGCTGCTTTAACCCCGCTGCACCGTCCGTTTCCGGTGCGCATTCGGTACGTTCCACTCTAAACAGTCGCCCATATGTTTCGGGACGCGATTTGATTATTTTTATATTCGCGTTTTGTTCTGCGCTTAAATTTTTTTTAAACAGCTTAAGAACGGAAGAGAGAGAGAGAGAGAGAGGGGGGGAAGAGAGGAAGAGAGGGAGATCAGAAACGTTTAGTAATATATATTAATATATATTTTAATTATTAATAGTTAATATCGAGGTAAAATATTAATATCTTTATTCAAGAATATTGCATTGTAAAAATAAAAACTTATGACGATAATATATGTAACATAAGCCACAGGTAAACTTTTGGAGAACTGACGACTCAAATTAGCACTTAAAAATTATTTTAATTCGAAGCATCTTTTGTAATTACTAATTAGATAATTTCATCATATAACGTAGAAAATGTTAAACGATTCGACGGACAGAAGATCAAAGTAATCAAACTGAAGGAGAGTGATATGAGAAAAAAAGCGATTATCACGTTTATAATTATAGTTGGAAATTTCGCATTGGCAGAAAATTGATACTTGTCGTAGTAAACACATCACTCTGTAATTGATACCGCGGAACAAATTCTTTAACAGCAAACATTTATGGATGCTCGACGAGTCATCGGCGATCGGAACGAACCGGATTGCGCGAGGCGCGATTGGTCGTCGATGGGAAACAGGAAAACTTGGAGAACGCGCAAAACGACATGCTACGTCCCGCAATTACTAAACCGGGATTCCACTGGCTGGTTTCTATATACGCGCACCCATATGCACATACATATATACATAAAATATACATGTATTTTTTAATACATGTATACACCCACAAGTGTATACATATATATATATAAATGTATATACAGGTATATGTATATATATATAATGCATTAGCGTCGTACAGATCTGGTTCCTTGGCGCGGTACATTTCGCGTGCGATCGATCTCTCGAACCCTTTTTCCCGCACTTCGGCCGAGTTTGCCGCGGTTCGATGACGCGCGGCGCCTCGAATCCGCAAGATTATCGAGCGATTACGTTCGAACGCTACCCTAACGCGCGAATGGTCGTAAAAAGAGAGCAGCAGACAAAAGAGAGAGAGAGAAGAGAGAGAGAGAGAGAGAGAGAGCAGTAACCGGAGGGGTTACATACGCATCAGGGTTGCGCGCGCGGCGGATACCTTAAAGTCCACTAGTCCGTCAACCACCGCGGTATTCAACAGGACACTTTTCCCATCGAACGCTATCTTCTCCACTTGTCAAATCACACGTCGAGCTGTCATCTTTCGCTCTTGCGCCACTTCTCCCCTTCGCGCTTTTCGCTTCTCCTCTTCACATCGACCCGACTGCCGCGGACCGCGCGCGCACACGTATATACGTGTGACTCCCGACTCTGAGAATTCACGCGACGAGGAAAGCACCGAGCGTAACGCGACCGCTCGACCGCTCTCCCGGATACTCCGCACGGCTTTGATCGCCGCCGCTCAGGCGCTCACCGCTGTCGGGCAGATCGGGCTGTCGGCTGTCATCGATGGCGACGCCGCGCGCTCGCCACGGCACCTGCCGGTAATGCAGCGCAACACTCGTTCTTTATTTTTTCGTTTTTCAAAACACGGAAACCGGAAGCTCTTATTAATTAAACTATTAAACGAGATATATATATATATATATAGAGAGAGAGACAGAGAGAGAGATAAGAATATTGTATATTTTATTAATCTCTCTAAAATAAAAGATTTAGACCATTTTTCGTTTTGAGAATATTTATAATCCAATCGCACAAGTTAATTATATAAAATAAAAATTTTAATTTCCAGAAATATTAATACATTGGTATAAAAAGAGAGAGGGACATATATATGTATAATGCAACAATTTTGCAACGAATTATTGTATAATTTTTTAAATATATTTTAATAAGATGAGAAAACTACATATTTCTAACTTTGAGATAAAAATAAAAGTATGAAATTGTTTATTAAATTCAATTTTCCACAACTCGTATTCTATTTAAAAATAAATGCAATATATACAAATTTGCAAACAAATTTTATTATCGTTGATAATTGCAGATTGTAACACAATTTTCTAAGTAATACTTACATTGTATAACGTAAATTTATCATTAACGTAAAATTGATGTCAGCTAATTAATAAAATATATACCTTATATTACATGTACTATTTCATTAGTATATTTAATAAATGTTATAAAATTATAACATCTATATCACGAACGACGCAATGTACAGTTCAATTACAAAACTTATTGTGGTATTTTACGTACACAAAGATTATATTCCTTTGGCTGAATAGACCTTTTGTCTTTATTTTAAAAATAAATGATGTATTACAGGTAACGTGTTTTCAAAACATTTCTCAACGATCACGTATGACATTAAACATATTACACATGTTGATAAATTTTCCATCATTTCTACTATAATTTAATAATAAAAATGTTTCGTATCTCACAAGTGTTACAAATATTATTTACTATCGTTATAAACTTTTAATAATACATCATTTACAGAAGTGATCTCATAGAGATCCTGTATTAAGAGTTTGGCGAAAGCAGCTCAACTTCTGGACTGCGTTTCGTTATTCATTGCGAGTACTAAACATCTATAGTATCTACGGTCAGGGCCAAAAAGGTTGCAACACTTTTTTTCGATGGGTTTCGGAATGCAGCTTACTCACCGAGCGATTGGTTCTTATTTGTCGAGCTATATAATAACAACCAATCGCTCGATGAGCAAGCTACATTCCGAAATCCATCGAAAAAAAGTGTTGCAACTTTTTTCGCCCTGACCGTACAATGTGAACTTACAGATTTTCAGTACTCGCAGTGAATAATGGAACGCAGCCTCCTGATTTGTCGCCCATTATGATCCATTCGGTTTACTTCGCACAGCTTCGTAAATTGTCAGAAAACGAGTGAAGAAAAGAAAGAGACAGATAGTTATAAACAAATGAGTTTAATTTTCATTTTATAAATAAGATCTTACTTCACCTAAATTTAATACGAAAATACCGAGGCTATGATAGTTTTCAAATGAGAAGAATTTAAAAATTACAAATAACAGGGCTATACTGAAAAAAATGTACTAAATTTTAATAACATTTACTTATAGTAAATAAATATTTACTCAATAAACAAAATGATATTTAAAATCAAATTAATGGTTCTTGTACCAAACAAATATTATATGTTCACATTTAGTAAATTTACATTTAGTTATTACTATTGAAACAAATTTATTTATTATTAGTTTGGGACACTCTATATATCTATTTTTAAATAAATTATTACAAAAAGGTGCCGAGCACCTCGTCAATTTTATTACTTTAATCTTTTTTTAACTTTTAACTGGACAATGAACAATTCTTACTCTTCCTGTGCATATATTCAAGTGAGAAAGAAAGCAATATTTGTTATCTTTTTCTATCCGTCATTTTTATCCGCTTCTGCCAAATTCTTATTATAGGATCTTTAGGGTCTCGCACTCTTACCACGTACATATTACGTGTATATAGTTACATATTCAAGATATTGACAATTACAAATAAACTAATTTAGTTAATATGCGAATATAGTTATGTAATCTTCATGTCTCACAAAATTAAAGTTACTAATTTTTGTAAAAATATGAAATGTGTGCTATGAATTTATTTATTAAAACGAAAATGCATACGTAAAATTTAATTTACAAAGTTAACAAGATATTAGCATTATACAGAAATGTAATATGATTGTTCAGCGAATTGTACAATTAACTATTGGATAATGAAATACATGCGCTTTCAAAAAATGTCATTCATGCTTTAGATGCAATAATGTAATACATCTTTGCTACTTTACGTGTGTCAGCTATATAAATGTATAGTAGTGAATTCGATTGACAGAATGCACTCAGTGTACACTGTTGTACATTAAAGCCGTCGTACACAAATCATGAAATCTTCAATATATTTGTAATAATATTTGTATTTTTCTTTTACACAGATTAAATCAGAGTATAATGGCTTTAATATTCACTAATGTGCACTAGAGCGTCTAACTGAATTCGCTATAAGATTTGTATACAACAAAATATGAAATTCGATTTGTGTACACATATTGAGAATAACAATCTAACACAAAACGCATCTCCTGTACATCGGAATTGACTTGAAAATAATTCAACACAAGTCACAATTGTTACAACAATTTCAATTGTGACAGCAATTCTCTTACAAGGAAAGGCTCCCAGACGTTCCTCTTCGATTTTAATGAAACTTGGTGAGTTTGTAGGAGGGATAAAAATATTTAATACGTATTTTTTTTTTTAAATTAGCAACATGTTTATGGAATAAAACCAGTAATTATCGTTTTTTGGCTATAACTTCTGAATGACGTATGATAGCGTAATTTTGTACGTATACAAAATGTACACAATTAGGAAAAAATTCACCGACAAAATTAACCGGTGTGCACTTATATTACATGGTAGTCCTGGAGTCGCGCGAAAGCAGTGGGATTCCGGCGGATACCACGTCGCAGTGCAGCTTCGAATAGAGACTTGTGTTCAGGAAACTCGCGAAATTCGACATAACGTCGTTTTGAAATCTTGTACATTTACGAAATTATGCTATCATGCTTTGTTTCAAAGTTATAGCCGAGAAACACAAATTCAGCCAGTCTTCGAGGATTAATTTCATTCTCATTCCAGGAGAGGAGTCTTTCCTTATTAATTCGCGCGCGTTTCCTCCATATATATTATTTTTCTGAAACGAAAAAATATTCTTAACACATTCTGTTGCAGTTTAGCTTTTCATTCTCATGTAATTATTGCATCCATCGATCTTTTCGTGTCTTTCAAGCAGTTTCTTAGTATAAAACCGCGTACCACAGATGTTACATTTTAACTTGGAATTTGTGCCATGATTCATCATGGTATGATATTCTAAACCTACTCTATCAGAAAATACTTTGCCACAAAAATAACAAGCATTATGCTTATGACATTTCATATGACCACGGAAAGTTTTGAGTTTCACAGATTTCAAGCATATAGTACAAGTTACCAAGTTATCAGCTCCATTAAAATGTATCGTGTATTTATGATAAGAAAGATTCCTACTATTTGTATAAGCCTTTTTACATTTGTGGCAAGGATAACCAAAACCTAAATGATAACCTTCGTGTGGAGCCTTTGATGAAATAGTAATCTTTTTATTACAAAATCTACAAATCAAATCGTTATGGTCTGAATGAAAATGAGATAATCGTGCTTTGTCATTCGTGAATCGTACGGGACATTGGAAACAATGATAGCCACGATCAAAATGTTTGAATTTCATATGCTCATCAAATTCGCTGTAACTATTTAGCATCTCTTTACAAAAGAAACACCGCAACTGTAGTGAAAATTCATCGAATGATCTGCCTTTTATAATAGTACACTGATGAGTATCATATAACTTAATATTATTAAACTGTTCCTTACAATATCCACATATCATTGATTTAAATTGCATCGTACAAACTTTCCTTTCATCATGGGAATAATCCGACTCCATTTTGGAATATAGATACCGTTTATTTGCAGATCGCAATTCCCGCTTGTTTTGATGTGTTTCTTGATTTTTAAACCGGTTATTTTTCTTGCACGTTTCTTTAATTTGGTTATATTTTTCATTCTTATCTTCTACATTCCTGGATTTACGAATGTCGAGAATCTTTTGACACATTTGCTTTAATGTATTGACTTCATTTTCAATTTTTTCATCTTCATTTTCAATTTTTCCATCATTTTGCTGCTTTGATGAATTCTGCTTACCGTTTTCTTGTGTAACCATCTGCTTTGTTGTATTATTTTCATCAAGAGCAATTTGTACATCATCTTCAATATCAATGATTACGTCTTCATCTGTATCTTCTAACTTCAAAATACTATGATCTTTACTGTATTTAGAATCAGATGTATCTAATACTTGTCGTTTAGTGGACGCTTTAGTAAAATCTTTGGTATAATTAGATGTATGAGACATAGATGAAGTATCTTCTTTGAGAATTTTAGAATTTTGGAGTTTATCTTCATCATCTTTACCAACTATTTCATATGAATCATTTAGTTTCTTGATTGTTATGTTAATGCCAATACCAGAGTCTCTATCACTGCTGACCCTAGTGCTCATTGCTGTATCCTCATTTTGACATAATTCACAATTGTTTTTATGAAGAAACAAGGTATGAGGATTTCGAAATGATCTTCCACATATACAAATAGTTTCATTATTTTTGTTAATTCTTTCACTGTATCGAATAGCTCGATTAGAAATTGAATTATTTTGATTACGCAATGTATTACGCTTGGAATTATTTAACTGCGATGTATGCTTTTCATTTATTCTATTGTTAGCACTGTTTGCAATAGTGTTAGTAGACTTCATGGAAGACTGCAATGATTTATATTTCTTATTAAATGGTGAATTAAAGTATCTACATGTGAATTTATGAAAATTTTCTTTAGTTTCTCCACGTAAGATGTGATTGCGTTTATGTTTGTACAAACTATGGGCAGTTTTATACAATCCCAAGCAAATGTCACATTTATATGTATAAGCACTTAAAATTTCTTCCTGTGTGACGGTGGACGGATTCTGAACAATTGCATAACGTTCATTATTCAACTTGCGTTTCTTTCTAGGATAAGTCAATTTATACTTCCTTTTCCCTTGGACTTTCGACGTTTTACGAGTATCATTTTCATTGTCCATTATGCGAAATCCATCTTGATGTGGTTCATTTTTTAATGTAGTTCGTTTATCTCCAGGTGATATTTTAGGCTCACTCAATAATGATGATTCTAGCTGTTCCATTACACTTGTAGAACCTCCAATTTTATGATAATTAATTAAATGTTTTCTTAAACATAATACTTTTTGCTGACATAATGTACACTTAACAAGCCGTGTTGATACAGCAGGCGGTGAAGCAGTAGTTTCAACATTGGTAAGTTTTGTCTTTGCAGTGGTTTTTTCACATGAATCTTTATTATCATAAAGCTTTTCAGAATTGTTATTTTCTTTGCTAATTGAAGAAACTTGACTGGCTCCATTGAAATTCTTTTTGTTTAAAGCATTACATTTCAAACGTTTACGTTGAATAAGTAAGGGAAGGACAACTCCATGTACTCTTTCCGAATGTTTTCTTAATGATCGTCTTTCCAAGTATTGGATACCACAGGTAATGCAAGGATATAATTTCTTTGTTCTTAGGACAGAAACCTTAAAAGGTGGCATTGTGTTGTTACTTCTCAATCTAGGTTGATTCTTAACGTGTGATTCAGATTGCTCAATCTCATCCAAATGCTGCACTTTCTCCTCATTTTTTTCCTCCTTATTTTTATCACAATCATCATCAGTCAGCGTTGTTGGCTTTTCAACCTGTATAGTTTTTATTAATTGTAATGTTTCCCAAATTTTATCACATCTCTCCAATAAAATAATTGGATCCTTTATCGTAGGTGCGAATACCGGAATGTGTAATAATGAGGATTCATCCTGTAAGAGAAAATATATAATTTTCAATTATATATGATATATTTTGTTTATCTTTCTTTGTGTTTTACATCATAATGTAAAACACTAATTAAAGTAAAACAAAAACTTGTAATTTCACATAATCATGTAACACAAGCTACAGAGACATAACCAAAAATCAGTGTGTGTGATCGGAGTTTTTTCCAGTAAAAAAATTAATGATTGTTGCAACAGATTAGGTTAGTCTCGTAAATAACGACAGATTATTAACAATAAGTAACAATAAGTAACAAAATCAAACATATAACAATACAAAACACTGGCAATCGAGTCGTAGCCTAACCAACATAAACATGAAAAGCGCGGTAAAATAATTGCCAACGAAACGCTATCATTTTTTAATATCTTTTTTCCTAAAGATGCAGAGAACGAATTTTTCTAAAATTTGAATAATGAGCATTTCGACATTATACGTAAGTGACACGATTGGTGAAGCAAACTCATAAATTCCCACACTTACAAATACCAATGGGTCATCATCGTCGATCGAGTTGCCCAATTCAGTCCCTGGTTCCGTCTTGCATTCAATCTGGAATTCGGCGACATTTGGAGGTGGTATCAATATCGTTGTATCATCCGCGTCCCCAGGAATGATCATGGTGTCGTCAGCCATCCCAGGACAGGACGCAAACGATGCGATCTGCGGGAAAACAGATCGTATTTGAATCCCTTCTGAAACGGGAACGTCGGCAGTGTCGACAGTGTCGTTGCTTGCGAACTGTTGCTGGTCGCTGGCTGGGCAATTCTCGGCGTCTTTCTTATTGTTAGACTCTACCGCATCACCGCATGCTTCTTTCTCGGCGCCATTCCACATGATCGCTACGACGATAGTCCCTCTCTTTTCGGTGCGCTACGACCCTTTACTGTCCTTTCCTCGTATACACTTCTTCTCAGTTCTCCTATCCTTATTCGACAGAAGGGACGCGTTTGTACTGAGCCTTCTCAATCCGACCCAGCTCGACCACTATCGAAACTCATTCGGTTCGGACTGATCCCAGTGCTGGATAGGTGGCACTAGCCCGATGGATATTGATGGGCACCAACTGGGACTGTTTATTTCGGTGTATTTTCGTTGGTTTTATGCCTACACAATATTAATTATATTCAAACTTTAGAGAGTGGGAGAAGATACAGGCAAGAGGTATAGAGAATATAACTGAACAAACGAATTAAGCAAGATATACGTATTAACAATATTAATAAAACAATCGTTACTTGGCGTGTTTCATCAGTAACCATCAGTTACAAAGTCTAATCTCAAACAAACAAATTGATATTCTCTGAAAATTCTTCCAATCCGATCGTATCACGATGTTAATGGGTATTGCATCATATTGCGTAATAAACAAAACTATGCAGATTTAGGGATTCTAATGTGCTTTATCAGTATGCAGCGCTTGATGTATGAACGAATTCTAATTCTAGCATACATCAGAACAGGCATGATTGCATGCTCGTCATTCAAGAAATCGAGCATCATCTGATTCTCTTTAATCGGGAGCAGTAAAATGGGAAGTTTCTCCTAGAAACAAGACAATCTTACGACAGTCTCGATCGAAATACGCATTACATATCCCGAAAGCTAAGTATCAAATTGGTATACGTAAAGTATACAAGATGTAAGTTCAACGGAAAATTCCGAAGAAATTTCTATTAGGAACGATCAAAATGAAACGTTGTTTGTTATTAAAATTAGAATTGTACGATTAGTCAAAATACATTTTTAACATATTTTAAATCCTCGTCAGTTTCCAAACATCGATCTGATACCTCTGGTAAGAAAAGAGATATCATAATGAAAGTCGAAGTCAACAAAAATATGATCCGATCTCGTAAAGCTCTTTGTTCATATAACTGGAATATCCCAGTATATATAACTAAAGTATCCTAGTACTTACTAAGGTTTCCAAGAGTAGCTGAGAACTCAACCCGACTGGCGTTATTAAAGGAATGTTTCTTAATCAAATGTTATCGACTTTCCATTTAATTTAACATAATGATAAATCAAAATTCGTTTATCAAAGACAACTTACTTTAGCGTTCAAATTAAACGAGATTAATACCGTACGTATAAATTCTTACAATCAATTATAAGATTATTTTGATACAATCAATTATAAAATTATTTTGAAAAAAATTACTGAAAATATCAAAATACAATACATTATACAATACATTATTTGCTGTTGTACTATACATATATACTTCGATACTATTGGGACAGAACCAAGGGATATTGATCGGACTAAGGACTTGTCGTGAATAGACTTTCTTATATATCTCGTCATAAATCTGGGCAAACTATGTGAATTTTAATGTTCAAATTTTCCACGATATTGTTTTGCGTTTCGTAATTGATAAATGCTCTCGACAATTTTGCTATACTTTGCAAAAAATATATTTTATTCAAAAATTTTTTGTCAAATACAATTAAGTAATAGGTCTTTGCGGTTACCGTTCCGTCACTGCGTGTTAATACGCGATTGGACGGTGTAGACTTGAGAATAGTCGAGAACGGTCGAGATCGTCGAGAACCCTGGACGAGTCCAAGTTTGGAGATAAGGCAATTCTCGTCGAATTTTATGTCCCATCTCGATTTCGTTTACATATTACTCGCATACGTCTATATCTAGCTTCGCCCAACGGGAAGACTCCCGTACAATACGATCTACGTATTGAAAATCCGTTATACGTGACATAACCCAACACATGTTTACAATATCGTCTCTGCGATATTTGGGACTCCTAAATTATGTATAATAGGCATGTAATTTACAGTCTATTGCGCTACTCAATATCGTGGCGATGAGATATCCATTGTTATCGATGATTATTGTTAGAAACGTTCATTCACCTGAGATTTCGAGCAGATACAGTCGATTTCATACGCTCGTCGTGTAAGACGCAGTCCGACTTCGTCAATAGATCCAGGACAGACTGTCGTGTAGCCTCAGCGTTCGTTCCCTTTACAGTAGACTCATGCGCACAGTAAGAATTCTTGAAGCACAAAAATAATGTGTGCAATCAAGTATCAAACGTTCGAAAGACCGAATTTAAGGAATATAGGAGCGAAAGATGACGGGAGAGATGCGAACATGTAACCCAATTCTGGACGAGTCCATTTTTACCTATGGCACGTGACAGGCCAAGTCCCGTTTTATTTCGGCTAAGACTAATTTTATGACGGTTTATTCATGCGTCATAACTACACAACCTATTAGGGCACACCTATTAGGGCTGAATACCTGAGAACTTGGAACGTTGGACGTTGCTCTAACGACAGATATTCATTCTGCTACGAAAACCCCTTATTTGATCGATACACATACCGCGATTGGGAAAACTGTGTTCTCACCTGTCTTTATTTTGCCTACACGGCACTCTGTGCCAAATACGTTAGCAAGGTTTATAATAATATGGACAATAATAGTTTGCAGCAATTTCTATTGTCACATGTTCGTTTACAGTCGATCGCGAAAAATCGAATAATTCATTCTAGACCATTGGAAAGCACTTTGGAAAACACTTTATTCCCATTAAATCTTGTATCAACTGATGTTCTACCAAATATTTTACTTCTCTACTAAACATTTTACAAGGGAATGCATTTCTTTACCGAGGTGAAAGATTCATCTTGGGTGTTGGTAGGCTGTTCACGAAGGTTTTTCTAAATTGATCTGAATCTAAAGTTACATGTTCAAATTTGTAACATAAACTGCAATGCGATTATTATAAAAAAAAGTATGTATAATACGTTCTCATTTTACGAAATGTTAACTGTAGGATCCAAAATTACCCTTATTAATTAAAACCCCAAGCATCATTTGTCATTTGCCCTGATGACAGAAGTCTAAAGAGGTATTGAATAGCAATTTCAGTCCAACGAAATTAGGTCTTTCTAATAATTCTGACATTAGAGGCGCAGACAAGCGTAATCGTAGAAAATCGTATAAACCGTGAATTAACAGTGTGCAAATGAGTAATCAATTGATAGCCCGTTTTAGGCCGGTCAGCCAATCCAGCCCACACGAGTAATCACGGATAAACGTATGTAATTTGCGTTCATACGTAACACAGCACAATAGCGTGATGTCGTAGTCCCAGGTTCGCGGAATAAGTGACTAGCCATCTTACTGTGCATGACGAGATTCGGATACTCTTGTTGTAAGTTATATATGTACTGTAAAAAATGACGATGATTAACTGATTGAGAGATTGAGATTGGAACAGATCGGAACGAGTGCAACAAGGCCGATGCTGTTTTCGTTGGCGCATGCAGGCTCAGCTTGATTTCTCGATAAAATTGTGGCACTAACGAGATCGTCATGCTATGCACTTCCGCCGAAGGACATATAAAACCGCACGCGCTTCTATACCCGCACGCAGAGTGGTGTTGTTTGTCCGATTGCAAAAATGCGACCACTTTCAGGTATCTTGCTGTTGCTCCTTACCTGCCAACTCGCTACGCCGATACCGATTTTCGATAGAGGTGGTGTATATTGTAGTTGTTTATAAGTGCTAAATTAATTACGTCCTACAGTGTAGAGGATAATGAAGTGCAGGATTAAAATAATCGATATTATAGTTGAATTAAACACATATTTGAGTTCCTCAAGTTCTTGAAATGAATAATTGTCCCGATTCAAGAGAAAAAAAAAAGAATATAGTGTCACAGTTTCCAGTTTCTTGCGAAAAGAAATGGAAATGTTAGTGTGTCTTCCAGCAAGTGGTGTTACACTGTGTCGCCTGTGTCGCTTGCTGAAAAGCACACCTAGTATATTTAAATTGTTTTAAATTTAAATGAAATTTAATTCAATATCTTTAAGCAAAGATAGATATCTATGATATAACATCATACATATAACATAAGTATATTCGTTGATTAAATGTTCAGATTTCTGATTTACGCCAAATTTTACAAAATTATATAAACTAAAAAAGAATTTCACAAGATTGCAGTCAAACTGTACTACTCAATTGTGATGCATAGTGACCAATCCTGCTATACAAATCCTATAAATTTTTAATATCCTACTCAACGCAAACGTTTGTCGTAGATGGAACAGGTTTTCATGGTCGATCAACTGGATTTGGAGAAACAGTACGAGATTGGTTCAAAATGCTCAAGGACCGAATTGTAGGAAAATGGCGAGAGTGGTTTGGCAAAGATAGTCCAACTCCGAACTTATCACCGCAGGATATTTTGAACATTGATAAGACCTTGGAGGGTCGAATATCGGGTTATCCAGGCTTGTTCTTAGATTTGTGTAAGCAAGTTCAATAACATGAAACTTAGAGTCAGTATCCGTAGAATTTTTCTTCAATTCTTTGTCATATAGTAAAACTGAAACTCGTTGGATGTCAAATCACGTGTTTATGCTTCGCTACGGAACATAATTGAGCGATTTCGACGTTTTACGTGATGCGTCACTCGTGAATGTTGTACGAGAGATACAATTAGGATTACAGCGTATAATACCACGTATATTTTTCAAAAGTTTCCACGAGATTGCATCCTTCCAAGCAACTTCTAGACGATTCAGATTTAACTTTCGTATTTTGTCAATTTTTTCGTACTAATAGCTAGGCTATCGTTTGACCCAAAACGAGATTGGGGCGTCCGGATTGGTAACTGGTACATCATCCGGAAAATTACAGGCAATGATTACGGGGACAGTGATTCGGATGAGTGGGACATAATGCCGAATCTGCCTTCACCTCCTATATTTGGAATCGATTGGACGCCTGACTTCAGTAAATTTCCAACAGAAATTCCGAGAACTACGCAACGTCCAACGACTACACCAAAGATCGAATTGATTACACCGAGACAACAGACAACCCAAACTGTTACTCAAACGCAATCAGATTCAACTTCTACCGAATCAACTGTAACAACCACCGGGACTATTGTGACTTCTACCGAATCGATTCCACTTACTACCCAATTAATTACAATTTCCATAGAGCCAAATATAGAAATTGATTCATCAAGTGAAGAAATGATAACTTCCAGTGAATCTGTTGTAATGAATAGTGTACCGGTTGCAGCACCTACTAATTCTACATTAACATCTACCGAGTCAATTACCGAATCAACTGTTTCGTCAGTTGATATTACTATGTTTTCTGTCACATCGACATCATCAACTGATCTAACTTCTGTGAAATCGGTCGAAACATCTATTGAATCTACTGCAGTTTCTAATGAAACAGACATTACGTTCTCCGAGGAATTAACTACTACTACTACCACTGACTCACCCGAAACGTCCGCTGAACAAATTTTACCTTTCTTTAATAAGCGAGTAGAAGATAATGAGACCGTTAATAAACGTACCACAAAGAAACCTCGTCCAGCATCTGCCGAAGTTATAACGTTTTAAACAGATTGTATATCATAAAAAAAATTCAGGTGTATATCTTCAATGGTTTTTAATAAAGTTTTAAGTATGTAAGTTGTAAATACATATTGATTAGATATAAAAATATTAAAATACTGAAAATTTTTAAGTAAAAAAATAATAGCGCATTAATTCAATATAAATTTTTTAACAAGGCATTGTTACGAGATGTCAAGAAAAATGTGATAAACAGGTTTTCATCAAGAAGAATACACGTTTATTCCGTAAAATTTATTATAATTTCGGCGCTATTCCATAATAAAATATAATAACTTTTACGTCGATGATTGTGTGGTCTTCAAGATGGCTTCTTTTACTGTAATAGAAAAAAAATTGTGTCTGTATTAAAAAAAATAATATATCTTTTTTTCTTATTTAAAATCAACTTTTTAACATGCACATAACCAATTTTAATACAAATAGTTGTAGCAATAGGATAGCACACATATATTTACATATCTGTAATTGACACATAAAGCATGTTCTCCTTCAAGTGTATTAGTTAAATATAAAAAATATATGCACTAAAAAAATTCAATATATAATAATTCAATATTCAAGTATTTTCACACACAAAATTGTTTAAACATTAGCAATTTTCATGCATACTTAATTTTATATTAATATAAAACGCAAATATAACACAGAATAAACTTTAAAATAAAATAAAATTGTTTGTTACTTTGTTAATATATTTGTGATTCATTGAAATTAGTTTTTGAGCAAGGGAAAGTTAATTATAAACCACAAGCTTAATTTCTTTTTTTTTTTGTTTTGGAGGATGTAATCTAATTTAGTAATAATTACTTTTAAAACAATTTGATTACTGTAGCAAAAGTTTAATTTTAGTTTTAATTGCAGTGATACAGACAACATGTTAGTGTAAGTTCAGAATTAAATTATTACACAGTAAAATGCAAATATAAGTAATTAAGTTCTATATCTAATTATACATTCTAAATCTACACTCTACATCATCAAAGATGTTTATTGTATGATACGAAAATATAATAGCCTATGTAAGATTATTGTATTTTCATATCATAAAAATAAAATATTACATTTTTATATTACTATGTATTAACAGACTATTGGAATATTAGAATTACATGATTAGTAAAATAATAAATAAATCATAAAAATATATCATATATTTATGCTGTTAAAGAATAAAAAAAATATTAGCATGCTCATACAATAAAGAACAAAAGTATGAAACTTAAAGATTTGCATGCTGACCCTGATTAAGCAATAAGAAATTGCTCCTCCAGAAGTCTGTAGTACAAATGATGATCATTTCTTTATTTCCTTCCCTAGAATGTGAATAAGAAGCGTATACCACCGTAGCATGCATAATAGACATCGAACCAAAGGAAAATTTATTTCTGAATTGCCCATGAACATTATATTATCAATAAAAAAAAAATACTTTATATTTTTCATTTTTGTCATTATTCTATCATAGGTAGAACACATGACACAACTACTGTAATGTGTGAGAAATATTAAGTTAAACCAATCAAATTTTACAAATCTACTAAATGTAACTTTTTAACAAATATATGAATATTTATCATGTATTTAAAGTTATCTATTTAATATCAGGAATTTAAATGTCATGTAAGAAAATTCAATATATATAAACTGTGATTTTATTAAATAGAGTAGTGCATTAATATAATCAATTAACTGAATGAAAACAAAGAAAAAATTACAACATTGGATAGAACGTACAATTTAAAGACAATGACAATTTTGATATAAGAAATTTAAATTAAAACCTATGTGATTAAAAAAAGAAAGAAACATGCACAAGATATTTGATACCGAAAAGCATTAAGAGATAGAATAAATAAATTTTTTGCAATGTTATAACATTAACGTTCAAGTAATAGAGCAAGAAATGTTTATGAAAGAAATATATTTGAAATATATTATTTTGTCTACCTTTTTAGATGCTGCTCCAACTTTACTCTTTTTAGTACCCCTAACTTTCTTCATTCTGTTCTTGCGTTCCTTACGCTGTTTTCTCGTTTGTTTTTGTTTCTCGAAGAGCCCATGCCTTGCTAGCCTATATTTAGGTTCAAATTTCTTTGCAAAATCCAAGGTGTCGTAGATCAGTGCAAATCCAGTAGATTTACCACCACCAAAGTTAGTTTGGAAGCCAAACACAAAGACAACATCTGGAGTCACTTTATACATCTTGGCTAATTTTTCTCGAATCTCGGTCTTACGAACTGATGGTTGGCCAGGATGGATAACATCTACGACCTACAATCAAAATAAATAAATTGTCATATAAATTCTCATCTGTAACGATGGATTGATGTCACGGATACTTGAAGTCTCACACTCACCATTTGTTTTCGGCATAAAAGCCGATTGGTCATGAATTTTCTCGTCCTGATGGTAGCTGTACCTTCCGTCTGTAAGCAAAAATCAAAATACACTTCTTTATTTATAGGTTAGATTATGTTACTTATTAGACATTTTCAGTGTATCGAAATAGAATAACGAATACTATAAATTGGTAGACAGATAAAAAAAATTCAGTTAATTTTATGATTTATTATCCCATAGAGCGTTACAAATGGTCACAAACAATTACAAACATGCATTACTCAATTGAGGTTATGTCACGTCGTGTTAGATTAATTTTACTATGTCCGTAATTGATACTTTCTGAACATGATATACACAATACGTATTTTGTTAGATGCCATTGTTAAATATTTAATTGAATGTTGCACGTTTCGTTGGATGATTACTAAAGAATTCTTCGATACAAGTTACATACCATTTTGATCGGTTATCGTTGTTTAGCGTACCGCTTGGAAAAAGGTACGTACGGAAACGTATATCGCCATCTACGAAAAATTGCACGGCAACATCGGCATCCGCGTGTATTTTACGTTAGAAAAATTAATCTGTATTGTTTATATTTACGATCGACATTATCGATTAAAAATGATTGAAAATCCTCCATCTAATTTTCAAGATGTCACGTTCAAACAGTTTAAAGTATTTAAGCAGGTTCTCCAGTCATTTGACATAATATAGGAATTTGATCAAATTTTAAGTCAACATTTTCGGAACCAACACCAGGTGTTGTGTGCAAGTTCAAATTCTTTATTATATAACAAAATTAATTAGACGTTTCGACTCCTCCATAATAATTTTGGATCATTCATAATCGATAATTAACAAAAATGAAAATATGGCCGAAATTATTGTACACAAAAGTATAGAAGTCTATAATATAAAATTTGTTATAACAAAATAGAAAAAAATAGGGATGCATCGAATTGTAAAATTACCAGACACCGAATATCCGGTATCCGGTCGGATATCCGACCGGATTTCGGGAAATTGTCTTCTAAAAAAAAAACCGAAGAAGGGTCGTAGAGAAAAAATTGTAATTTTGCAACAATAAGATATTAATATGACATTATGAATGTGCATATTCATTTCTAAAACATACAATAACAAATCAACAATTTAATGATATAAAATTTCAACCGGATATATTCCCGGATATCAATGATATCCGGCTATCGGGTCGGATAGTAAAAAACTGCCGGATAATACCAGATATCGGATATCTGGTGCATCCTTAGAAAATACTAATGTTTAAAGAGAAAGTGTCATATATCGACCGTTAAACTGCATGATCGACGCGCGAGTTTGTGAGGGAACTTCCGAAAGAGACCGACGCTGTGCGCGTAGCGCTTCCGCCAACGTCGGCAGCTGATTGGCGCTCAGCCGTCGGCTCGACGTTGACCACTGCCGTTCTCTAGGAAGTTTCGAGAACATACACTGCAGGCGGCAATATCGGTAGGCGACGTGGGCGCACGGAGTTGCACGGAAGACGAAATCCGGGCTCGGTGAGCTCAGTTTGGTACGTGAAACGTCGTGACGCGGACGCGAAGGCGGAATCAGCGTCGTACGAAACGTGCGCGGTCATTCTTTACAGCGACACTCCTCGTCGTTTACGCAGGTAAGTAACTCTCGCGGATCGCGGGATTCTTGTCGTCAGGGGGATCAAAGACGATCCATTCGCCGATCTGATGGCGTGGACCGGGAGCGAACAACGGGCGGCCGAAGTCGCGCGATCGATCGATCGGTTGGTCCGCTCGCGATATTCGTCCTCTTTCTTCTTTCCTGAGAAACGTAATCGATGATTAGCGTGCTCGCGTGAGGCGTAGACACTTGGAAAATTTTCCGAAATCACTATCCACGTCGGAATTTCGTCGCGGTTTCTCCTGGCCTAGCTCTGCGTAACGGTCATCGAAGCCAGTGAAGGGGTGTGGGGGGCAGGAGCGCCTTGGCGGACGGTCGAAGGTTGCGCGATGATATATTTCGCACGGTTGCACATTGATGAACGTTACGAAGCGGGAATTGAGCTGGTCGCCAGGCGAGTACTCTCATTGCGGCAGCGAGCTTGGAAAGAAAGATGGAAGCCAGTAACCTGCCTACCAAGTCTGCGTGCGAGCTTGCCCGACTCGTGTCGATTAACGATTTACCGAGGCATCGGCTACTGCTGAGAAAAGGAGATTGAGATTAAAAAAAAAAAAAGAAAAAGAAAAAGTAGATTCGCTTATCACGAGGAAAACGTGTTTTTCTCGTGATAGCGTAAATTGTGCGTCGAGCATAAAAATTCGTCACGAGCGATCTGACAAACGCTTACACCGATTTTGTCGTACGACTTGGGAACCCGCGTGCTCGATACATCTACGCGAAAGTGGAAGGCTCTAGAAAGCTCGGAGAGGCGGTCTTTGTTCGCGAAGCGTCCACAGCACGCGCCTCGCCTTTTAAAATACTCCGCTCGCTGGTCTATTCAATCGTATACTCCCAGTCCTGTACTGTAGACGCCATTTTGAAATTCGCATGAATCCCGCATGGATGTTTTATATTCTTTGAATTCATGAGCGAACGCGCGACTTCTACCTCTGCAAACGCATGCAAACTGCGTAAAAAAGCGTCTGTATGCGTTGCGAGGCTTGAAATCAGTCGCGATAAAAATGAGAAAAGGGAGGAAGAAACGAATGTTGGTAAAATTGAGCATTTATGCTTCAACAAGACTTTCCCTGTTTTCAGTTTTGTCATTTTTGCTGTTAACTACAAGTACAATTCGAAACTCAAGGTCATTAAGCCAGAAGTTTTCTCATTTGTGCTAAATGCTCTTTTGTTGCTCATTGTATCTTATATAACTTGAACGTTTATTAATTTAAATATTCATAAAAAGAGTTACATTTGTTTATTGTTTGACCATAATTGAAATTTATGAGTCAATCATCTTCTATCTATCTAGATTAAATTATGCAACACTATAAAAATGATGCATTTCGCATTTAAAGTTATGAATTAATTATGAGTTGAACTCGTCTACCTTTTTGGTCTTGCGCATGTATGTTGTAACAGAGTTGTTTGCCTCATCAGTATAATGAATTTGTACCTCCTATTCTCTGATGTCATTTTATCTGCAGTTTGACATTTTGACAGAATTTTTTGTGCAGGTGCATTATATCATCAGGTCTATTTTTGTAGCAACTTTGAATTTATTGCGCAAAATGTATTCCATTTAAAATAGAAAAAGATATAGATATTCCAAGTTTGGTGTCAAACAAGATATAAAAAGTTTCAGTACAATCCAGTGCAGCGACAAAGAACAGATCGACCTATGTATTTAATGGTGATATAAAAAATTAAAGCATTTGTTATAGTAGTTTTTCTTGTTTACAGCAGCAAGAGTGGTTTAATATAACACTAACTACTTAACACACTGTGAAAATGGTTAAGGAGACTACATTTTATGACGTATTGGGCGTGAAGCCTGGATGCTCGCAGGAAGATTTGAAGAAGGCCTATAGAAAGCTTGCTCTAAAATACCATCCTGATAAAAATCCTAATGAAGGAGATAAGGTTTGTACAAATCTTATCATTTAAAATACTTATTGATTACGCGTAATAAAACCTAATATAATTAAATATTATAAAATGTTTTAGTTTAAACAAATTTCTCAAGCGTACGAAGTATTGTCAAACCCGGAGAAGAAGCGTATCTACGATCAAGGTGGCGAGCAGGCTTTGAAAGAAGGTGGCATGGGTGGTAGTGGCTTCTCTTCTCCTATGGATATCTTCGATATGTTCTTTGGAGGAGGATTTGGCGGACGGGGAGCGAGGAGGAGAGAACGCAGAGGTCAAGATGTAATGCATCAATTATCAGTTTCTCTGGAGGAACTTTACAAAGGAACTGTGCGTAAACTGGCTCTGCAAAAGAATGTTATTTGTGAGAAATGTGAAGGTAACGGTTGTATGAAGATTGTAATTTTAAAAAGGTCTGTATCTGTGTAGATACGGAGAATATGATCTCTATTGTTTTCCGATTAGGTGTCGGTGGAAAGAAAGGTTCTGTTGAACAATGTTCAACGTGTCATGGTTCCGGCTTGCAAGTACAAATCCAGCAATTAGGTCCGGGAATGTTACAACATTTACAAACCATGTGTGCAGATTGCAAAGGACAGGGAGAACGTATTAATCCCCGTGATCGTTGCAAATACTGCAATGGAAGAAAGACTATTAGAGATAGAAAGATACTTGAGGTTCACGTTGATCCAGGCATGGTTGATGGTCAAAAGATAACTTTCAGTGGCGAAGGTGATCAGGAACCAGACTTGGAGCCTGGCGATATAGTTATTCTTCTTGAAGAAAAAGATCATGATGTATTCAAGTTAGTAGTATTTCAATGGAATATTTATTAGAGAACTAATTTAACTGTTACTAATTACTTGCTGCGATCAATTAAATTATAGGCGTTCAAGAAATGATCTGATTATGCGGATGCAATTAGAACTCGTAGAGGCATTATGTGGATTCCAGAAAGTTATCCGTACTTTGGATGGTAGAGATCTAGTGATAACCTCACTTCCCGGCACTGTGACGAAACACGGTGACTTGAAATGCATCTTGAACGAGGGCATGCCGATTTACAAAGATCCATTTACACATGGCAGACTTATAATACAATTTATAGTCAATTTCCCGAAGAGCATAGACCCATCGCTTATTCCGTCATTGGAACAATGTCTGCCGCCGAGGGAAGAGGTTATAATTCCAGATGGTGCCGAGGAGTGTTTACTTACTGACTTGGATCCTGAGCAGGAGCAAAGGCGGAGAGACACGAGACAAGCGTACGAAGAGGACGAAGGAGGTCCATCGCGAGTCCAATGTGCCACACATTAATTTGATTACACTAACCCTGTAATAAACATAGCCGTTTCTTTCATTTCAAACTCTGTCCCATTCGCTCGATTCTGTATCATGCTAAAGAAAGAAACAACATGGATATGTAAGCCAACTATTCAATGAGCGAGAAAGATATAATTCTACTGTTTGGACATATGCAAAAAAAACCAGTGAGTACTGCAATTATTGATTCTTTAATTTTATCAGTTACATGAAAATTATACGACTTTGAAAGTAAACAATTATCACCGGCAATCTTATTATGAAAAGCTTCGTTATGATCAAGCATTTTACTAGATGCATCTTATTGAGATATCTCTTATGGAGAGGCTTCTCGTTGAAACTTTTAAGCTACTTTTTAGAATATATTTCTGATATTTTATGAAATGCAATGTAGGAATGAATGGGAGAATTGCGGATACCGCAGGATAAATACGAATGGTACTATTGCAGTATAAATAGTGATAATCTCTCATTTCTTGCATTCAGTGATTATCTGATAGTTTGGTACTTTCCAGCAAGCGACACAGTCTGATTGAAATCTCATTTTTAATATAATGTCTGAAATGATAACTTTAAATTCTTTAAAGAATAAATTATAATCAATTCTTGAAAGAAATAATTGCATATTCTTGCGCCCTTTGTTAATATCGTTTATTTTTTTATCAGTATCTGTGGATGAATCGATGGACATCGTTCGTTCGCTACTCAATAAGAGGCTTCATCAAAATTTCACTTATTTTTCGCTTATTGTAAACATTCGTCTACACATATTCATGTTATTTCTTTTAATAGAGGATTACTAAAAGTATGTACTTATCATTACACAATGATAAGAAAATTTAAATTTATTTAGTAAAGTAACGTAAAGGTTTCGATATCCATCGTTACAATATAATGAAAGGCATATATTCTCAAACATCGCCATTGTCTCTGCTGTTTGACCAATTGTATCGCTCCAATAACCAGTTAGCTGTTCGACAGTGACTACTACATTGCTAAAGTTAGAATTAAATTTCATAAATATATATATATATTTAGTTCAATTTTATGGATTATCCGTATACACGATTACTTCTTTCAGATATTAAAATAACAGCAAACTTGATTACTCCAAACCTTAAAGTCTGAAAATTGTTATCTTTTACAGTTTTCTAGAATTTAAAATAACAATATCGGGATGTGTCAATCGATGTGAAACGGTATAAACTATGCTTGGTTAAAGCCTTAATGTTATCAATTGTATTAGAGATCTCGAAGAAACTTTTCAAAGTGGGACATTATTCCATATTCGTAGTATTTAATTTTTTCCAGTCGCTTTTGTATACTGGTGTGTGACGATGATAAATGGAAACATAGAATTTTGTTTGCGAACAAAGCAAATAAAATGGGAAATCAGGTTCCTGTGTGTGTGGACGATTGCGCGTATTTATAAGCAGCTTTGTGCAATTATATTGTGTCGAATCTAACCATTTTCCTTTACATTTGCCGACGCTGAGAGATTTTATTATATATTTTAATAAAATCAATGATTATCACTTTAGTAATTTCCTTACTAGAAATTTGTGTAAACAAAATATTATGTTTTCATAATAGATATATTTCTACAAATTTATTCGGTCATTTTCACCATATCTTCATCTAAACGCGCATGAACAAATGCTCTAGAGATCTAGATAATTCATAGATCCTGTTGTACTATATTAAATTAATATACTTTCAATATACATTCACACATAATTTACTATATACATGGTACTCGTCCGCAGTTACTATAGCGAATTTTAATAAATAGCCACATATGTCTTGTAATCTTATTTATTATAGGAAAAAATTGGTGATTGATTAGGTACTTTTTTTGAGCGTCTCAAATAAATTTGGAACTGTACAATGGGATTATCGATTTTACGTCCTTGCAAAATCGGACCTGAAATTCCTCACATACTTTAATTACTCGAAACACTTGTTTCATGTAATTTTCCTTCAATTTATTACTAATTCGTCGCAAATAAACGCGCAAATTAATGATGTAATAATATATTTAATTTACAAGATTGTTTGATTTTTTATTTAAAAAATAGCTTACATATCAAAATTAAATTTTAAGTGTCAGGAGATTCTATTATTTCAATTTGTTTTAAGTAATTGTAAAAATTTAATAAGTAAAATAAATAGGGGGGCATAAAATTAAGAAATGAAAAATGAAATTAAAAGTGATAAAAAAATTGATATTTCATTGTGTTTATTAATTCGCACATTCGATCGTTATTCGATGACTAATCAAATTTATAAAATTGCAATTATTTGCCAATTTGTAATCGATCTAAATGAAGATTCGTAGTAAAGAGATTTATGAAACGTCGATTCATGAATCGCTCGTTATTTTGACTGTGACTGGCGGATTCAATCGTTCCGCATGAAAGAGAGAGTCATCGCGATTCTACCGAGGGAAGGAAGAGGGGGAGAGGGAGAGAGAGAGGGCGATATCCGTGAGCCCGCGGGGACGACCGCGAAATTAACGCCTGCCCCGTCCGATGGATAGCGACACCGTCGTTCGCGATGCTTCGCGTCGTGTGGGTCGATGTTTTTAGCGACGTACTTAGTGACGTGCGAGTGGCTCGAGTGAGAGAGGTAGAGAGGCAGCGAGGCAGCCGTCGGGATGCCGCAGAGGTTTCTGGGTATGCGGTGGGAGCCATATTTTTTCAATATCAGTTACGCGAAAAGAGCGTAGCGTACGGGGACGGGGCAGAGCATCTGGCGGGCACGGCATTTCGAACGGCTGCGGTGCCGCGCGACGTTCGTGTCGGCCGGCGGTGAGTGATCGGGCGCGTTAAACGCAGGACGGCGAACGCGATACGAGGGCGCGTAGTCGTTGCCGTGTCCGCGCCGCTACCATCGCTCGTCACGAAAAATAACATAATAACCGCGCGACAGCGGGGAGGTGAGGTGAGGTCCCCCGTGAGAAACGGAGTAGCGCGCAGGTGTTCGAGAGGGTTAGTTAACTTAACCCGAGTTCGTAACCGCGCTCTCTGTCTCTCTCTCTCTCGCTCGCGGTAGTGGTGGTGGTAGTAGTAATATCAAGTAGTAGTGGTACGAGCCAGTGGGGAAATGGTAGTTACGGTGGTGGTGGTGGTGGAAGAGTGTTGGTGGTGGTGGTCGTGATACTCGCTGCTGCTGCTGCTGCTGCTGTTGCTGTGACGATGACACAGCGTCATAACACGACGTTCGTCCGTCCGTGCGCGATTTAACCCGAATCGTTACGCCAGAGCAGCGGCGTAAAGTGTTTTTTGTACGGCGTGCGCGTTCGCGCCATATTACCGATCGAGCGCCGACTCGAGGCGACTCCAGCCGAGTCCGGCGCGATTAAACCCGCGTACGCAGTCAGTGTCGAGGGAGATGGCACGCCGTTCGGCCGTGTTATCATCGTGAGTCTCGCGCATTCGTCGGGATCGTTGTCGCGTGACCGTGCGAGGGTTCCCCCCTCCCCTCCCCTCCCCGCCTCTCGCCTTTCGGCGAGATATACCCAAGCAGTGTGTCGTTTTGCGTAATGACATAATTGAGTGCGCGCGCGCGCGCGCGGGCGTCTTTGCGTTCGTTCGGAGTGCATTGTAACGCGACTCGATCGTGGACGGAGTAATGTGTAGTGGCTGTGAGTAAAGCGCGGACCGTGAACGTTGACACGTCTCGCCGGGTGTTAACGTTCGAGAAAGATTGAGAGAGAGAGAGAAAGAGTGTGTGTGTATGTGTGTGAGTAAGCGAGGAACCGAGTAAAAAGTCGGCGCGCTCCGATTTCGAATTGTCCATGGTGAATATAGCCGCGGCGCAGTTGGGAGAATCTTCGGCCCGTCGATTTTACGTCGCGTCGTCGCTCCGGCGGGGAGCGGGGCAAAGCAAACGGGTGGCGGCAACTACGGGGGCCGTCACCTTGAGTCGCGAGCGAGACCTTGCGCGCGTACGTAAGGCTCTCTCTCTCTTTCTCTCTCGTCCGCTTGCTCCGAGACGTAATTCCCCGCCGATAAACAAGCGGCTCGCCTACGCGCGTCGGCCCGCCGGCTATGAGAGTTTCGAGTGAAGTTAGCAGCAGTCGCGACCTTGCTCGCCGTCGCCACCACCTCGTGCACGATCATGCTACGTAACGACTCGCGACGTGTGCAACGCTCGCCCGCGCGGCAAAAGGAATTTACGTGAAACGTCACCGCGGAAGCGAGAGAGAAAGAGAGAGAGAGAGAGAGAGAGAGAAAGTGACAGAAACGCGGAGGAAAACGATCAGCCGGCTTTCGACATCCGATGCGGCGGCGTTTCGAATTCCGATCGCGTTCGCGTGCGACGACGTGACGCGAGCTGCGACATTTTGACGAGCGTGCGTCTATCCTCAGGAAAGGAGGCTGAGAGGAGAAGGAGGAGAAGAAAGGCGAGCCAACTGCGGGAGGGAAAACACATCGTCGTCGGCGCGTCCCGCGCCATGCCCGGCGATCCCCGCCGCGTCAAGGAGGTTAGACGGCCATTGACCGGCGGCGGGCAGCGACAGCGTGTACTACGCGCGCCAAACACGCACCGGTTTCGAGTACGACGCGCGACGTAGGAGAGAGTCGAACGCGATTTTCGCCGTTTCACCAAAGGAAGGAACATCCCCGGGAGGTATCCATGTTCGTCGCGCGATTGACGTAATATTATGTCGTGCTACGTGTGCCTCTACGCGGAGAGACGCAACGGTACGTGTACGTGCAGGAACATCGGCGAGAGTGCGAGCACCCGTGGACCCGCAGGAGGTTCATCGTCATTGTCGAGCGCGTGAAGAATCGTGAGCCGGTGTCACGGAGGATGCGGCAGTACCCGCCGCCGGTGTCTCCACGTAGACGAGCTACGTGCCACGTCGTGCCAGTGATGTCGTGGGTGTCGTCAGGGTCATCCGCCGCGCTGCTGGACCTGGACCATGGCCGGCAAGCCTGAGCAGCCGTCCACGCTCCCTGCTCCCCCGAGTCACGGCCATCAGCATCATCAACAGGCGCAACAGCAGCAGCCGCTGCAACAGCAGCAACAACAACAACAGCAGCAGCAACAGCAACAATCGCATCATCCGCAGCAACCTATACAGCAGAACAGCGTTCTGGTATACGTGTCGGGGGAGAACTTTGCGTACGCCACGGCGGTGGGTCAGAATGTCGCCGCGACCGCTGCTGCCGCTATCGCGGTCGGTTATCAGTCGCAGCCGCAGCAGCAGCCGCAGCAGCAACAGCAGCAACAGACGACGACGCAGTACGCCGGTATCCTGCAGGCTCCGCAGGTGGCGACGGCGCAGGCGGTTACGACGACCTTTCCCGCCAAAACCGTCGTATATTGCGCCGACGATAGCAACGTAGGAAACAATGTCATCACCACCACCACCACCCCCGCGATCGGCTGG